CCCTGAGGGGTGATTTCTTGCTTTCTGTCTCTCTGTTTCTGTCTGTCTGTCTGGCGAGCGCACATGCCCTATAGCGAAAACCTCTCAAAAAAATAAAAATAAAAATAAAAAAATAAATAAAACTGAAAATATTTAAGATTTTTCCTCTCTCATTCACTCTATTTCTCAAAGGAAAGGATTAAGTTGAGATAGACTTCGCTCTCTCATAGCTCATAATTTTGCTGTGTTACTCTTCATAAGAGCAGTGTTATGATTGTCAACACAAAAGATGGAATCTAGGGGTTCTTTTTTTTTTTTATATACATTCAATCATATTTAGCTTACAAAGTGAACATTTCAATATGTGAACATTTCTCCCCAGTCCAGTTGATCAAAATATCTTCAACCAATAACACCACATTTCCCCATCCCGTCAATGCTCTGCCTCCGTAACCCTCCTCCAAAGATGGTTTGTTCATTTGAGATGTAGTGAAAACTCTAAGTGATTGATTCTTTTTTCTTCCTTTCCTCTTTTCTTTCTTCCTCTTCCTCTTTTTTTTCCCCCCTTTGGCTGTTTTCTTTTTTTTTTTTTTTTTTTGGAGAGATTTTTGCTACAGGGCGCGTGCGCTCACCAGACAGACAGAGAGAGACATAGAGACAGAAAGCGAGAAATCACCCCCCAGGGGGGATGGTCACGCCGCAATCCCTTCTTCTCCATTCTCCTCTCGGGATCTTGGGCACGCACGCACATGCGCCCGGCGTGAGTTTTAAGCCACCGGGTCCGGGACGCGAACCGCGGTCGACTACGTGGGAGTCCAGCGACATAGCCATTACGCTAACTGCTGGTTCCCCCCTTTGGCTGTTTTCTTAGTTAATGTTACTTTGCCCCTTTCCTTGAGATGACTGAACAATTTCCACTATATGGATATATCACAAATTTTTATCTATACATTCATTGACTCAAACTATTTCCAAAGACCCTAAGGGGAATCCTCTCAAACTATGGGCCCACCATCACCCTGATACCAAAACAGACAAAAACACAACAAAAAAAGAAAACTACAGACCAATATCCCTAGTGAGCATAGATATAAAAATTCTGAACAAAATACTAGAAAAATTGAATTCCAAAGCACATAAAAAAGATTATATGCCACGATTTAGTAGAATTGATCCCAAGAAAGCAAGGAAGTTTCAACATTTATGAATCTATAAATGTGATACATTATATCAACAAAAGATAAAAACCATGTGGTCATATTTATTACGGCAGAAAAAAAAACATTCGATAAAGTACAACATCCCTTCATGATTAAAACTCAGCAAATTAGGTTATAAAAAGTACTGTTAAAGGAAATTTAAAATCACAGTTAAGTTTTGTTTTTGTTTTTGTTTTTGTTTTTGAGAGAGAGATTTTTGCTATAGGGCGCATGCACTCGCCAGAGAGACAGAGCGAGACAGAGAGACAGAAAGTGAGAAATCACCCCTAGGGAGGATGGCCATGCTGCAATCCCTTCTCCTCCATTCTCCTCTCAGGATTTTGGGCATGCACGCACACGTGCCCAGCATAGCTTTTAAGTCACCGGGTCCAGGACTTAAACTGCAGTTGACTACATGGGAATCCAGCAACATAACCATTACGTCATCTGCTGGTCCCAAGTTTATTATTTTTTAATGGATAGAAGGCATGTGTGCTTGCAAAAGAGACAAAGAAACAGAAAGACACTGTAAAGATATATGTGATTAAATGTAATACAAAAATTTTTTAAATGTAAAAAAAGAAAGCTTTAAAAATAAAAAAAAATTTAGCACACACACACACACACCCAGTATGTATTCGACCCTCCAGGGCTGGGATTCAAACTATGGTCAGCCATGTGAGATCCAGCTCCCTTAACCACTAGTCTACAGAGATAGTTGAAAATTTTTAATTTTTTAAAAAAGCAAGAGAGATTATTTCTAAGTATGGTTCCTAGTAGAAATTAAACTTCCCTTAAGGGAAATCTTGTGACTTTTTTCCTCAACATTTTTGCTACAGGACACGTGCGCTACTTCCCTTAAGGGAAATCTTGTGACTTTTTTTTCCTCTACATTTTTGCTACAGGACACGTGCGCTTTCCCAGAGAGACAGACAGAGGGAAAGTGAGAAATCAGCCCCCAGAGGGGATGGCCACATCTGTTCTCCTCCATTCTCCTCCTGGGATTTTTGGGCATGCATGCACACGCACAACACACACAGCATGTATCAAGTCACTGCATCTGGGACTCTTGGCCAAATGGGAGTCCCACTATGGGACTCGAGACACTTTAACCACTACATCACCTGCTGGCCAAATCTTGTGACTTTTATTTTTCTATTTTAAATTATTATTACTATTATGATTATTTATACATTCAATCACTATACATCATTTAGATTGTAAAGAGACTTTACCCAGCATGGTACACATCTCAATTCAGTTGAGAATACTATACACATCCTCATCAGCAGATAATAAACCATATCCATATCTGTGTCCCACAAATATCTTCTCTCTCCATATTTGTCCCCTAATTTCCTTTCCTGCACACTTTCCTGGAGTTTATGTGCCACACTTTTTCAATCCATTCATCAGTTCGTGGACATTTGGGTTGGTTCCATGTCTTCACAATCGTCAATAGTGTTGCAATAAATACAGTTGTGCAAGCGCTTTTCCAACTGAGCATTCTCCTGTCCTTTGGGTAGATATCCAGGAGTTCTTTTATCTTTTTTAGAATTATTTATTTTATTTTTATTAGAATTTTATTTTATTTTTTAAAGAATTATCCATTCAATTTTATTTATTTATTTAATTTGCTATAAGGCATGTGTGCTCATCAGAGAGAGGGAGAAGAAGGAGAGAGGTTAAGTATGAAAGCAAGCTGCCAGATCCGGGACTTGAACCATGGTTTTCCATGTGGGAGTTCAGTGCCTTAACCACCATGCCATCTACTGGACCCAATCTTGTGACTTTTAAATCAAACCCAAGAAAGAAGAGTTTCTCCTTGGGGAAAATAAATCCATCTCACTCAACCATTGCTTACATCAACACAAGATTAGCTTAAACTTTTCCATTCTGCTATCTTCTTTGTATCCCAAAGGGATTCAATTGTCTGGAGAGTGGGAAGAATAGAGAATAATTTATTTAATGAAGAGCTCTGAGACTTCGACCTGTGAGAAACTAGAAACTTCAAACATGCCTCTGTTCCCCCTCACCTATAATTCTCTGATCCCTGTTGACATGAAAACGCAAATAGACTTCCTCAGAACAGATCATAGAGAACAGAGAACATCAATGATTACCACTGGAGGGAGGCAGTGTATCCCAGTGAGTGTTTGTGGAGTAATAAGGGGAAGAAGAGATTCAGCTGGGTGCTTGATTTTATCTCTGAAAACTGAGACTGAGACAGTCTCATAGATATTTAGTCTATGAAGGTGAGAAGCCCCTGAACTTCTGAAGCTTAGTTTCATTTTCACTGAAAACCATCTTTTCCAGCTCTTCTTCTGTTTAATCTCATTCTTAGGATCTTGGAGCCTCTATCCTATGAGAGTGAATTTCCAGAAGTCTTCAACTCGTCTCTACTCTTTCTTGTTGGTAGGCTCCTGTTAGATTCCCTGCTTCCAATTATTTATCCATTAACTACTCAGCAAACATCTATTACGCATAAGGTATTGTCTTTTTTTGTTTCTATTGTGATTAGATTCCTCTGTTATAATCCCTGAGTGTTTTCACTGGCAAGTTTGGTTTTCTGATAACCCATATTCATACTATATCATTGTAGTTATTCCTTTACTTCCATGTCCACAAAATCATCTACAAATAATGTCATTATTTCTGACGGTCAACATTCAATCCAAATTTCTTTCTTCATTTTACCAGTCTCTTTAAATATTCAGAAAAATATTGAATAATTGAAGCTGGAATAGACTGTAGAACGTTAGAATGCCTTGGCTTGTTCACAAATCTCATATAAACACTTTCATGTTTGCAAGTAGCATATCCAAGAGTTGTGGATTCTTGATCAGGTTAAGAAGTTGTCCTTAGTTTTTGGCTCAGTGTGGCTGATAACCACACTAGAGGATGTTAAATTCTCAAGTACATTCTCTCTCTTTTTAAACCATAAGTACATTTTCTTTCTATTTTACTTTTTTTGAATCTTACAGTCAATCACTGTATAGCATTATAGCATACAAAATGAATTTTCCCATCCAGAATACATTGTATATTAGCTCAAACAAAGATATTACCATACATATTATTTTCAACAGATAATTTTCCATTTTGTGTTTTTAAATGTTTTACTTCTTTTTTCCCCTTTGATTTCCCTCCCTCTCACCCTCCACCAGCTCCTACCCTCTTCCCACAGTGTCTCTGGTATCCATAGTTGGTCTCCATGCCTTTGTACCGCCCGGTATTTCAAGTGCATTTTTGGAATTGTAATGATGTAACCTATGTTTTTCAAGTGTTTCCATTCTGCTATCTCCTTTATTTAAAAACATTCTTCTGTTAAACTAGCTTCCATTCTTTTGTTGTTGTTACATTTAATCACTGTGTGTCTTTACAGCATACAATGTGTTTATTCCCAGCATAAATATAGCACATATTAGTCAAGTCAAACAAAGCATTTAATAGATACAAGAAAGAAAAGTTATCTATTGATGATAATGCATATGTTAATGTCCTTGATTTGACTGAATTGGCTTCCATTCTTAAATTGTTATACCTTGTTCATCTTCATTCATCCATACTTAAAATATGCATGTGTGTGTGTGTGTCTGTGTGTCTGTGTATATAAGCATTTATTTCAGTCTTCAATTTTTGTGTCTATATTCAGGCATGTAATAAACTTTAAAATTCCTGTCTTGTGATAGTTGACATTTTGGTCTCAACCTTTTTTTTTAATTATTTATTTAATTTTAGTTATTATTCTATTTTTTTTTATTTGTTCTCGGGCACATGTGATCACCAGAGAGAGTGTAGCAAAGTGAGAAAGCAAGCCACCAAGTCCAGGACTCCAACTGCCGTTGGCCATGTGGGAATCCAGAGCCTCAACCACCATGCCATCTGCTGGC